TTTTCCTGGACATTTTATAGTTAGATTTGTTCTTCATTGTTGTAGCATAAGTACTGGTTTCATTCTTTGTCGGTGGAATCTGTTTATATTATGACCCATTATCATTAGCTGAACAGACTGCCTTAGACAGTGCATGGGTTTAGGACTGGCGTCTGCAACTTTTTGAAATCCAGAGACAATTTTCTCAGATTCTGACTCAATAAAAGTCTTTTGGAGTCGCAATTATGACAGGAACTTTACATTAAATACACTATATTGCCAAAAGTATTTGCTCACCTGCCTTGACTCACATATGAGCTTAAGTGACATCCCGTTCCTAATCCATAGGGTTCAATATGACATCGGTCCACCCTTTGCAGCTAGAACAGCTTCAACTCTTCTGGGACGGCTGTCCACAAGGTTTAGGAGTGTGTTTATGGGAATTTTTGACCATTCTTCCAGAAGCGCATTTGTGAGGTCGCACACTGATGTTGGACGAGAAGGCCTGGCTCTCAGTCTCCGCTCTAATTCATCCCAAAGGTGTTCTATCGGGTTGAGGTCAGGACTCTGTGCAGGCCAGTCAAGTTCATCCACACCAGACTCTGTCATCCATGTCTTTATGGACCTTGCTTTGTGCACTGGTGCACAGTCATGTTGGAAGAGGAAGGGGCCAGCTCCAAACTGTTCCCACAAAGTTGGGAGCATGGAATTGTCCAAAATGTCTTGGTATGCTGAAGCATTCAGAGTTCCTTTCACTGGAACTAAGGGGCCAAGCCCAGCTCCTGAAAAACAACCTCACACCATAATCCCCCCTCCACCAAACTTTACACTTGGCACAATGCAGTCAGACAAGTACCGTTCTCCTGGCAACCGCCAAACCCAGACCCGTCCATCAGATTGCCAGATGGAGAAGCGCGATTCGTCACTCCAGAGAACGCGTCTCCACTGCTCTAGAGTCCAGTGGCGGCGTGCTTTACACCACCGCATCCGACGCTTTGCATTGCACTTGGTGATGTATGGCTTGGATGCAGCTGCTCGACCATGGAAACCCATTCCATGAAGCTCTCTGCGCACTGTTCTTGAGCTAATCTGAAGGCCACATGAAGTTTGGAGGTCTGTAGTGATTGACTCTGCAGAAAGTTGGCGACCTCTTCGCACTATGCGCGTCAGCATCCGCTGACCCCGCTCCGTCAGTTTACGTGGCCTACCACTTCGTGGCTGAGTTGCTGTCGTTCCCAAACACTTCCATTTTCTTATAATACAGCTGACAGTTGACTGTGGAATATTTAGGAGCGAGGAAATTTCACGACTGGATTTGTTGCACAGGTGGCATCCTATCACAGTTCCACGCTGGAATTCACTGAGCTCCTGAGAGCGACCCATTCTTTCACAAATGTTTGTAAAAACAGTCTGCATGCCTAGGTGCTTGAATTTATACACCTGTGGCCATGGAAGTGATTGGAACACCTGATTCCAATAATTTGGATGGGTGAGCAAATACTTTTGGCAATATAGTGTACATTGCATTGTTTTTGCCAAATATCTGCTGCAGGAAATATGTTGGAGGTTTCTTGTTGTCATAGATACTGTTTGTGGAAATTGAAAGGCATCATTTCCAACCTAAAGAAAAGAAAGATAGATCTGAAACCAAGAACACTGGTTCTTTTAATGTCTTTCTGTGTCTTTCTTAAGCTTTTAAGACTGGAATTTGTTATTAAAGCAAGTTTATTTGTACATTAAGAAATTATATAGAAGTCAACTTTTCTTGAAATAGGATTTTCCTTGTTTTGGGCAGTTAAGTAAAACAGCTTGATTTTAAGTAAAATTATAATAACATCTTCATCATCTTATTTTAAGTGTATATTATATAATTGTCTTATTGTAGTGGATAAAAACTCTTCAATGCACTGACAGACCATCATGTTTGTCTGCTCAAATTAAGGGCAAATTAACCTATTTAAAGAACTTGTTTGTTTTTTACTTATATTTAATCAGTTTTGCATTATATAGCACATTTCAGTGGAGAGACAATTCAAACTGCGAAAAAAAAGTAATTAGATTGAGGTGGCATAGAGGCAGAGGAAATTATTAAAGATAATGATATTAATGAATAAAATGTGATTATAATAAAAATAAGATGAAACGATAAAAAAAAAAAAGTCGGACTTAAAACTGAACAAACTACACTATATTCAAAGCAATTATTTGGTTCTTTATCATTCGTAGCCTCTATTAAAAAGGAGTTCAGAGAGCCACCTGTGGCCCCAGAGCTGCAGGTTACAGACCCCTGGTCTAAGATATCTTCATCATTTGCAAATAAAGATTTTAGTCAAATATTAAAGGGATCTGTGTGTTTTTTATTTTTTTTCTTTCATAAAGAAAGATTTTTTATGTTTTTTTTGTTTTTTTTGTCATTGTTGTTCTGTTTTAGTTAAGGGAAAGAAAAACTCAGCAAGAATAGAGAAATTAGTTCATCTACTCTCGGTTTTCACTAACTTTATTCTGATGGGGACAAAAGAACTAAGAGATCCCAGCAAATCTTCATAGATATCTAACTCATATTTTTTGGGGCAATGTGCAAGAAAAAGGTTGTGCTCAGAATATGCATCAAGCTGCAAGAATATATGAAGCCATCTTGAGAATAAATGAACCTGTTTCTGCAAAGTGTGCATGTTGGTTTTTTCTGAACCAGGATAAGTTCTTCCTTCTTCTTCTTCAGCTCCGCCAAAGTTAACCATGGGTATCCCTTTCTTCTCCCTTAAAAATCATGGCCTCCCTTATACTGTTCTAATAGAGGGCTTCCCAAAGTGTGGGTCAGGATCCCTGGAGAGGTCGCAAAACATTAATAAGGGGATTCCATGAAGGAGGGAGGGGTCAAAATGTTTTATGATATATGTTCATATTATACTTTAGAGGGTAAATTTGAACTATAAAAAAAAAAAAACTTTAAATATACCATCAACATATAAATACACAATTTATAATTCAATATCATGTTAAATGATTGGGAATTATGAATTAAATGTAATTTTAACTTTTAAAAGGATTTAAGAATTAATATAGTATGATGAATATATTAATTCATTCTTATTTGTATATAAGTATATATATATATATATATGTATATGAATATACAGTGAAAATAAAATATGTTTTGTTTTTATTATTAGTAGTATTTTATATTATTGTTGGGGTTTGGTAAATCCTGGCCTAATGCATAAAATACAAAAAGTTTTTGGTTGGCTGCAGTATCTGCTTTGAAAAACACAATAAAAACACTTTTCAGTTAGGGACAGTTTATTCTGTACACTAAACAAGTTAGCAGAATCCTAGACAAATGAAGCGTTTGATTCAAGAGAAAGGAAAACAGTAAGAAAACAAACATAAATTCATCCCATTTCCTGTGCTTTACATTTTCAAAATAAAAGCCAAATAGGTTGCTGAGGTGAAACCTGAAACCACAGGTCTTCAGTGTCCCACAGTGTTTGCTGCAAAGGTGAAGAGGATTCATTCAAATCCAACCTCTGTAGAGGAACTAGATGTCCTTATAAAACGTTGCAACAACCTGTAGATGAAAAATGTTCTCCGCTGTTGTCATGATCATCCATTTTTATTTCTTTGTCCTTAAATAACCCATGTGCTCCAAAAGTGAATAAATTAAAATATAACATAAATCAATTTTTTTGAACTAAATATATATTTTTTCAGTGTTGAGCGGATAGATAATTTGCCAGGGAAATAAGGAGATCAAGTTTAATATGTGAAAAAAAAGAAATTATCTAATTTCAAGTACAGAATTTCTAAATTAATTATTTTGAGAGCAAAAATACTCATTCTATTATCAGATCTTCCTATTTACCTGCCAATTAAGTTCAGTCCACTGATTTTAGTAGGTTTTTAATTACTTTTAGATATTTTTTTGCACAAGTAGCTGAAATGTTAAACATAACATACCATTACTATTAATACACCTTTGCAATGTCCATTATCTGACACGCTTGTCCCGAGTGGGGTCGCGAGGGGTGCTGGGGCCTATCTCCAGCTGTCAATGGGCGAGAGGCGGGGTACACCCTGGACAGGTCGCCAGTCCATCGCAGGGCAACACAGAGACAAACAGGACAAACAACCATTCACGCACACACTCACACCTAGGAGAATCTAGAGAAGCCAATTAACCAAACATTCATGTTTTTGGACTGTGGGAGGAAGCCAGAGTACCCGGAGAGAACCCACACATGCTCAGGGAGAACATACAAATTCCATGCAGAAAGACCCCAGGCCGGGAATCGAACCCAGAACCTGAGCAGCCCACCTTTGCAATATCTAAAGATATTTTGGATGGATTTGTTTTTTTGTTTTTTCCAATAGAATATTAAATATTAGCCTACAAATGCTAAATCTCTTCACATTTGTTATGTCAAAGTACAGTTAAGCTGGTTGTGAGCAGGAATGGGTCGATTCACTGAGCGACAGTTTATATTTTTTTTTAAACAAACATTTTCCAAACTGCCAACATTATATTTCACATTGTTTCATACATTTTATTGTTGCAGGAGAGTGACATAAATTTCCTCTGATGGGAAAAAAGGGAAGAAAGTCACATTAGCCTTCCTTAACCCTGCTGCTCCCACACTTTATTACAATAAACACACATTTGGCTGTTTAAAGTACTACTGATCCCCAAATAACAGCAGGTATGAAAACCTAAAGACTGCTACCTCTCATAAAGAAGATGTTTTAGGAGCATAGAGTGCAGCTAATTATTGCAGCTCTCATAATCAGCCAAATGTAGGCTCTACAATGTAAACTTAATTCTAACTAAATCAAATTGGCTTGAAATAGATATAATTTTCTTGATTGGAGCAGGTAAGTGAAACACTTTGCCCGTGGAATAAGAGGATTTACGTTTAAAATAAGAAAAAGCAACTCTTTTTTTCTTATCTCAAGTCCATAATTTTTTGCATATTTTAGATCAGGTTTTGAAGTATAACAAGTTAAAACTAACAAAAACTAACTTTGTCCTTCAAGTAAGATCATTGGATATCGTGCACCTGAAATAAGATATTGAAGTTATTTTGTCTTATTTAAATATAAATTATCTTATTCCATTGGCAAATTGATCTACCTGTTCAAATGAAAAGAAAAAAAATCATTTAATTTAAGAAAAATAGCCATAAATGGATGTAAATTTTTTACAATGTTATTTTTGCGTTAAACTAAAAAGAACAACATTTTGAACTTAGCATGAAAAATGTTAAAATCATTTGCTGCAGTAGGAATAACTGATCCTTTTTTGTGTAAAATCTGATTACACAAAGGATTCACCTGATCCTTATCACTGATATTGGTGAGACAAAGATAACCCGGCCCTCCCGTTAGGTTTCCTCATTACGCATTATTTTATTCACAGTCAAATTTGGCTTGTTTTCTCCAGAAAAATGAAGGATTTACTGGATTCACCCTTCATAGGTTTTAAATACCCCCAGCCCAGAGTAACTACCCTTGTTAAACAACAGTTCACAGTATTGCAGCCTCATATAGCCATCAAAGTGTCCTTGTTGCATTTTTGGTGTATAAGCCAACATGTGTGGCTTTAGGCACTTGTGCTTTCCAGTAGAAAAAATATTTTTCTCTGCAGCAAAGGTTTACATGTATGCAAAAAATGATAAGAAACCCTGATCCATCCTGAATGAAAACTTATTAAGGCTATTATTTTTATGTTGATGAGATAAAAATGGGAGTTAGGTTTTCACAGCTTCTTCACAGCTCCCCTTGATGTTTTTTTTCTTTTTGGTGAATCTGATCTGTGAAAGACAAAAAACTGAAACATTAATGGAACAATTTTTAGTTTTTCAATCTCTGCACTTCTTATTTACACGTAAAATATACAATTTCTTACTTTACAAATAACATTTCAGTGCAAAAATAAAGCCTTTAAATCTATAAATGGGTATCAGGTGTTTGTTCTAAGTAGGAAACTCTGCTCTTACCATCTTAGTCCTGCTTTTTGGTTATTTCAGCCTCTGTTTCCTTAGAGGCCTCAGTTATAGACGTCTCTGCAGACAAACAGACAAACACAGGAATGTCATGAAACTGTAAAAACGACTGAGAAATTTGCAAAAATGTCTTAAATTAAGTGTATTTACCATTCATTTGAGTAGGTAAATAAGATGATTTGCCTAGTGAATTAGTATTTTGAGATAAGTAGATAATATGCACTTGAAATAAGACAAGGCAATTATTTATTCTTATTTTAAATGTAAATGGTCTTGTTCCATTAGCAAAGTGTCTTACTTACCTCCTCAATTCATGAAAAAATGCACTTAATGCAAGAAAAAAAAATACTTATTTCGATTTCAATTTTTTGCAGTGTATAATTCAAACTGCTCTGAGTTTCTTTGACTTGACATTACTATCATAATTAGAGGTGTCAGCCCCGCCCCTGTGGAAAACTGGGCAGCTGACGGTCCCCCATATCAACATCTCAGCTTCATTCCAACATATATAAACTCCCATCGGACCCCTAAAAAAAGTCTTGTAAAATTTATGTAATAAACCCTTTTTCCCTCTTGAGCCCAGTATTAACGCTGTAATAAGGAGTGTTTCTCTCCAAAAAGCACAGAAAACTATAGTTTTTCTCCCCTTATCTGATATTAATTCATTTCCTCGTTCCAAATGTAGCAGTGTAGAAAATCTTGCAAAATCATTTTTTCCTCGGGGCACAGGATATTTGATGCTTTTCTAGTTGTGACGTCTTCCTCTTAGAGTCCTGTTTTGATTTCCCTCCTGAACAGTAACCTGGCGAAATGTTTCCCAGTTTGTTTATTTTTCCATGTGCCTTCAGGTCTACGGTTCTCTACTTGATGTCTTGGTAGATTTTGTTGACTTTATGTCACACCACGCAGCAGTTTGTTTGAGGCATGCTGCCATTTTACTCAACTAACCAATCAGATGGCTACAAATATAAAAAAACAATCAAACTAAGCTTTCACCATTTGTTTAAAGGCACCGTAATCTTAGCACACATTACCTTTTTGTTTTGAGGAAAGTAGAACCTTTTTTGTATTACTCTCATTATTCAGTGTTTAGAAAACAGAAATAAGATTGATTGAAATTGATCCACTGCACCACTGGGCAGCTCCTTTTTTTCCTCTACTGGATTGCAGATGTTTGCTTCATGTAATCTAGCTCAGTTCATCTAAAAGGAAAAACCTAGCCCAAGGCATCACATTCCAAGACTGTGAGAAAACGGTCTGGAGGACCTCCATCCCCGCTTGCTTCCTAAATAAATATCAAAACAAAATTAAAATGACTTTTATACTGGAGCTAAGATTTTAAGACTTTGTTAGATGGATATATTTTTGCAGTGAAACAGGTAACAACACTGGTTCCTAAGGGGGGGGTGTGCCCCCTTTGGGAGCTCAGTATTGAAATGACCAACACTGAGAGGAAATTATATGAAGAAAAAATATGTATTTATGTCAATATTGAATTCTGTAATACTGCTTAAAATAATTACAGTTTAGTAGTTTTGTGATTTAAAAAGGATTGTATTTTTTTTAGGATGGTTTACTGCAGTTGGCTTTTCTTTTTCCAATTGTCCAAACGTTTGGTTAGTGCGGAGACACAAAAAACGTGCTTCTAAATCATAAGAGGGCCTCCCAGAAAAGTTGAAGAACCATTGCTAATCCTTTTTTTTTTAATAAAAAGTCTTTATCCTACAATAAAGGATGTGTTAAGACATATTAAAGAAATCCTGCTTGTATATCGGTATTTCAAATTAGCCCTTATCTTACTGTAGTTTTCCACCAAACCGCTCTAAAGACTATCGGCATTGTCGTATTTAATTAGAAGCAACGGGCCATGATGAGTCTGTTGGCAGTCCACAATGGAACACAATGAGAGAGGTTGCCTGACTGGAGCTGTTGTGCTTGACAACATGTTCATGCTGTAACATCAACATGCAGAAGATGTGCATTCACGCCTCTGCTCATGTCACTGCTTCGGCATTAAGGTCCAACAATATCCCATTCAGGCCTTCCTGTATAGAAGCATCTAAGTGGCTCACTAAGGAATCAGGGTTGTTAGCTGCATGTGCAGGATGCATGGAAAGCTGCATCTGTCAAACGACTGAACTCATCATCCATGTAAAGGAAGATTTATTGCTTTTCTGAATGTCAGCTTTACTCTCTCCTCACCTGTTGCCTCTCCTTTAAAAGGTTTCTGCATGTTTGCACACGATCTGTGCAAAACACTTTAGCAAACGTCCTCCACCTATAAACTGTCTCCTCAATCACTTTGACTCCCTGATGGCAGTTTTGTCATTTCTACTTTGCATTAATCATTGTCTTAAATAGAAGCATCCATCATGAACTTTATCAGTTTTGTCTTCATGCATCAATTCATTTTCTGTGGAGGAAATTGAACCATAGCTGCTCAAATCCTATCATCTGTCAGCTTTAGATGGTTGATTACCTGTATTGAAATGCCATCATAAAAGATATATTCTTTTTTCTTTTTAATAAAGAAATAAACCTTAAATAAATCTCAAAAGCACAAGTGTTGCTAAGGTGTTAGCATTTTGTACCCTCTGGTGGAGGTTCAGGAACTGGTTCAGCAGCAGGTTCTGGATCTGAAGCGGCTTCAGATTTAGTGGTGATGGGGTTCACCACAGGAACTTCTGCTGTGACTCCGGTCTCTGGTGGAGCTTCAGGGGTCTGGGCTGGATTGGGGGCCGCTGTGACCTCTGCAGGACCCGGCACCTCTGCTAAGGAAGCAACCTGCGTTTCCTCCTCAGTGACAGAATTATGCTCGGCTGGAGCAAGCGCTGTAGTGGGAGTTAATGGAGTCATCTCTGGAATACTGGCTGCAGCGAGGGCTGTGTCTATCAATGGCTCAGGTGTGTCTGCAGGCCCTGATGGTTCAGCCAGTGCTGAAACTGGAGTTGGTGTGGAAGCTTCTTCTGTTCCTGTATCCTCTGAGGCAGTCTCTGCTGTAGTATTGAAATTTGGGGCTTCATCGTTTACAAGTTCTACACCTTCTGTCAGTATTTTGGATGATTCTTCAGCTTCAGCCTTTTCCACATCCTGGGGGGTGTCTGATGGCTCCTCTACTGCTGCATCACTAACCTCCTCAGCTGAAACCAGAACCTCTGTCTGCACAGCTTCAACAGATTTAGCATCAGGGGTCTCCTCTGTGGCTTCAGGTGCTTTGATTTCAAGAGGGGCTTCTGCTGGAAGAGATTCTACAGGCAGCGTCTCCTCCTCTGTGTGTTCGACCTCAACTACTGGGGAAGCGACTTCTGGCTCAGCAGAATCTTCTACAGCTGCAGAGGATGCAGGCTGTGGGGCCGGCTCCTCACTAGATGCTGGTTCTGGTTGTGGGTCCGGAGCTTCTAAGAGATCTTCCCCAGAGCCGAGATCCTCCTGGGCCTCCATGGCCATTAAGACGGCCTCGGTTCCGTCTTCAGGTCCGGATATGAGATCATCTGGTAAGGGGGTCTGCGCAGGCAGCTGCATCTGATCCGCAATGGTTTGGACATCTTCTGTGATGATACCATTTTTGACTGCTGTAAACAAAACAGAAATGAAAAAAGGACAATCAATTTGAAAAGCAGCACACTTAAGAAATATTGGTAAAACATATGTCTGTTGCACTAGGGTTAGGGTCAACAGTTTGCTGATGTTTAGCAAAGAAAAATGAAGCAATCATAAGGAGAAAGCTGTTTTACACACAGACACACACCTACAAACACACCTTTCTTTTTTGCACAGATTGTCCATATTAATGCTTCTATCTCATGTTCTTTCTGCTCCTCAGCGTTCCATTTCACGAAGCAGGTTTAGAAAACTCAGATTTAAATCTGCAACTCTAAATAGATCTAGCCTAAAGTCAGGAACTCTGGGTTTTGGTTTTCAACGACTACTATGAATTAGTTCAATCTACCCTAAGTAGGTCCACTCAGAGTTTAACACCTTTGTGACAAGTATGAAAAGCCATGAGACGCCATGACAACAGGCAACCGGGATTGTCTTTTTTATCCCACCAGAAATAGAGATTTTAATGCAGAAATGAAAAAAAAAGGAGAAATTGTTTAAAAGACAGAGAAAAAAGCGCTACAGCTGCAAAGGAGAGGAAGATGGCGAAGGAGAATTGCTGCTCGAGTTAAAGTGTTGGTTTGTATGAAGTCTCTATGTCAGGCTGTTTTTACATTTATTAAAAGCACTCTCCTCTCTGTTGTTCTATTTTAGATCACTGAAATAGGATTCTTTCTGATCAAAATCACACTCCTACATTCAACTGTAATAATGTATTTTCTAAATTACATTTTTGCAGCAGAAACTGAATTTCAGAAAGTAAAAAATAAATCAAAGTAATACTAGTAAGAATTAAGTTTTATATATCTAGAAATGTTTACACATTATAAGTGGCCATTTTAACATTTATGAGCTTGACTAAAAAATGCTTTTATGATCAAAATAATATGAATGCTAACTAGTAACAAAAGGAGTATGGAGATCTAAAATTCCTTTCTAGACATCCAGAATGTCTCATTCTAGATGTGAAGAATGTCATTTTGTTTGAAACACTCATTTTTACAAGGGATTTTTTTTTTTCCGATATCAGGAATACATATTCAGTAAAATGAATACATTCCAAAATACTTGCCAAAGCCTATTGTGACCACGATAACATTACAGGTTTATTTCTTGAAATATATTGGATCAATGTATCTAATCAGATGAAATCATCTGGCAGCAGGTGAAGATAAAATTTAAAAACATTGTTCTAATAGATAAAACCTGTGCATCATCTCATGGGGTTCCTCCTCAGTTTGATTCAGTCTTCTTTTACACAGTAAATACTAAGCGGCTGTTTGCTGCCGTGCTTCAGATGTTATCATCCACATAAATGGCTGTTATTAGCAGCTATCAGTCCCATAGAATGCCCTCAGGTTGTGCCAGTAGACTCTGTAGGTTGTTATCACTGAACCCTAACCCTAAAGTAATTCCTCTTCCCCTCGCAGAATTAATGAATCTATTTATGTTCAATCTGAAAATAATTTCAGTAGTTCTTCATGTACCTAATACGAAAATAAACATATAAAAGGAAAATTTTGTGCATGTTGTTCCTATTAAACAAACCAAAAACAAATAAATCTCATATCCTGTCAACTGAGTTGTAGAATCCTCTCCCTATAAATATTTAATTATCGGTGAAGAGAATTCTGATCAGTCTTTAATAAGATCCTCATCAAACGGACATGCAATGTCTGTTTAAAAAAAAAAAAAACAAAAAAAACTTTTGTCTAAGGAACTATTAAATGATTTTTTTTATTGTATGCACAAATTAGTGTTTGTTTCATAACGGCTGCTATCAATTAGTTCAATCAATTTTAGCTAGATCCCCTAAGAGTTAAGTGCTGGTGAAGATTCTCAGTCATCCAGGTCATAGTCATTTAAAAAAAAAAAAATAAATAATTCACTGCACTTTGTTTCCAAGTTTGAAGAGGTTTTGCTTCCCATCCAGGAAGCTTTATCAATTACAAATGTCAGAAATAGTGTTGAGTTCGAGGCTTTATAGAGAGTACCGAAAAACAAAGCCTTGTTTTTGCTTAGAAAACATCCAAATTGAACCGGATGAACGGTTCCGCCCCTTAGAAATACGTAGGGTCGTTTTAGTTCTTTGTTAGGTTTGGATACCCCATACCTGTCTATGTCTCTGAAATGGGGGTTGTTAAAGGGAATTGTTGGCCTGGCTGAAACAGGTGAGGTGTTCTGTTCCCCTATAAGGAGTGGGGGTTGTGATGATACCGGGAAGGAATCAACTCAATTTTTGAAAGCTGAAATTTGAGCCCACCCCCTCTGTTTACGGTTGGTCTTTCTCTCTTGACATAGATGGCTTAATTCAGGTCCTTCTTAAACCACATGTCTTCTTTGTCCAAAATGTGAACATTCTGGTCCTCAAAAGAATGTCCTTTGTCCATAAGGTGTAGATGCACTGCTAAGTCTTGTCCCGAGAAAATCGTTCGTCTGTGTTGGGCAATGCGTCCGTGGAGAGGTTGTTTGGTTTCTCTAATATAAAGATCAGAGCATTCCTCACTGCATTGAACTGCATACACCACTCCGCTCATACAGGTGCTGGTCATAAAATTAGAATATCATGAAAAAGTAGATTGATTTCAGTAATTCCATTTAAAAAGTGAAACTTGTATATTATATTCATACATTACATACAAACTCATATATTTCAGATGTTTATTTTGTTTAATTTTGATGATTACAAATGACAACAAATGAAAATCTCAAATTCATCATATCAGAAAATTAGAATATTACTGAAGACCAATAAAAACAAAGGATTTATAGAAATGTTGGCCAACTGAAAAGTATGAACATGAAAAGTATGAGCATGTACAGCACTCAGTATTTAGTTGGGCCTCCTTTGGCCTGTATTACTGCAGCAATGCGGCGTGGCATGGAGTCGATCAGTCTGTGGCACTGCTCAGGTGTTATGATAGCCCAGGTTGCTCTAATAGTGGCTTTTAGCTCTTCTGAATTGTTGGGTCTGGTGTATTGCATCTTCTTCTTCACAATACCCCATAGATTTTCTATGGGGTTAAGGTCAGGAGAGTTTGCTGGCCAATTAAGAACAGGGATACCATGGTCCTTCAACCAGGTACTGGTAGCTTTGGCACTGTGTGCAGGTGCCAAGTCCTGTTGGAAAATGAAATCTGCATCTCCAAAAAGTTGGTCAGCTGCAGGAAGCATGAAGTGCTCTAAAACTTCCTGGTATGTGGCTGCGTTGACCCTGGACCTCAGAAAACACAATGGACCAACACCAGCAGATGACATGGCACCCCAAACCATCACTGACTGTGGAAACTTTACACTGGACTTCAAGCAACGTGGATGAAGTGCCTCTCTTCTTTTCCTCCAGACTCTGGGACCTTGATTTCCAAAGGAAATGCAAAATTTACTTTCATCAGAGAACATGACTTTGGACCACTCACCAGCAGTCCAGTCCTGTTTCTCTTTAGCCCAGGCAAGACGCTTCTGACGCTGTCTGTGGTTCAAGAGTGGCTTGACACAAGGAATGCCACAGCAGAAACCCATGTCTTTCATACGTCTGTGTGTGGTGGTTCTTGAAGCACTCACTCCAGCTGCAGTCCACTCTTTGTGAATCTCCCCCACATTTTTGAATGGGTTTTGTTTCACAATCCTCTCCAGGGTGCGGTTATCTCTCTTGCTTGTACACTTTTTTCGACCACATCTTTTCCTTCCCTTCGCCTCTCTATTAATGTGCTTGGACACTGAGCTCTGTGAACAGCCAGCCTCTTTAGCGATGACCTTTTGTGTCTTGCCCTCCTTGTGCAAGGTGTCGATGGTCGTCTTTTGGACAACTGTCAAGTCAGCAGTCTTCCCCATGATTGTGTAGCCTATAGAACTAGACTGAAAGACCATTTAAAGGCTTTTGCAGGTGGTTTGAGTTAATTAGCTGATTAGAGTGTGGCACCAGGGGCCATCAATTTTGAACCTTTTCACAATATTCTAATTTTCTGATATGATGAATTTGAGATTTTCATTTGTTGTCATTTGTAATCATCAAAATTAAACAAAATAAACATCTGAAATATATGAGTTTGTATGTAATGTATGAATATAATATACAAGTTTCACTTTTTAAATGGAATTACTGAAATCAATCTACTTTTTCATGATATTCTAATTTTATGACCAGCACCTGTATTTGGTCTGAGGGTTTTGTCTTGAGTGCATCCTAAAGAAGATGTCCTTGGAATGGGGCACATTAAATGTTGGTGATGATTTAGATCATAATCAGGATACAGGAATTTTTAAAGGATTCTTTAACATTGTGAGATACAGGAATAAATGCACGTGGTGTTCTTCTACAATATATATTTTTTCAAATAAAACACTGTATTTAAAAGGTAACCATGTTTTTGGGTAAGCTATACTGAGAGAACTCATGATGCAGGAGATAATAAAAAATAAATGCTTGAAGTATCCTTTCATTTCCTTACTTGAAAATAGGATTTACTGAAACCCTGAGGCCGTCCACTCAGGAAATGATCTTTCCTGCTTTCTGATTCTCAGGTGAAATGTTTGCTGTCTTCAGAAAAGAAATCTCATTTCTACAGCCACAGCGCTTCTGTCTGTTTCACAGTGGACGCTGCTCTCAGACAAGATGAGCCAGAGTTGCTCAGTTAGCTGTACGGCTGGATGGTTCGGATGCTTCAGCTTTCTAATTTTATTTGTCTGTCAGAAGCACTAAGCAGAGATCAGAGTGATGGCTGGAAGGGAATGTGGGGCTTGGCAGACTGTATAAAAATGAGCCAGAGGGAAAAAACACTTATAAAATCTAACATTTATTAGTCTTCACACCCATTTTCCTATCATTAATGGCTTTCATTAGTCCTTTAGAGGACTTTTGAAGATTTGATTTAAAAACAAGTTTGCCCCTCAATACAGGAGCAGCAGTCCAGAGCTGAGATTAAAAAGTGGGAATGATGCTGTCTGAGTTGTGGTGGACACCTCTGCACCAGGC